CACTGAACACACTGCTCTGCCTGGTGAAGGTGTTGTGCAGAGGGTGGTGGGCGTTGTCCAGTATTTTCCTCCCTTGCAAAGAAAATAGTGTGAATATTGTTTACATGTTTTTTATATTTAATATATCAATAATGTTTAGTGTATCTGAATATGTAGTAAGAAAAACAAATTCACTGCTGGATATCTACATCCAAGTACACACAGATTTTTTTTTTGCATTATTTGTTTAATAGTAGAAACATTATTTAGATTTGTAAATCACGTCAGTAATGTTTGCATTATTTTCTTTCCATAAGCCACCCAGTATTAGTCGTAACTGCTGCACATTGATACTGATGATATACTCCTTAAATATTTCTACGCATTTTGTATTTACTGTACCTACATAACTATATTTTGATCTGAAATGGTTGCTCAATTCATTGATTGACCAAAAAGTAATACATTTTTAAAAAATGTATCATAATTTACTCACGTTTTATATAATTTAAAATGTAATACTTTTGGGTTTCAGACAATTTGAAGATGTTGCCTAGTGACTTGTAATAGCCATGTTGTAGGCCTTTTTGCTTAATCCAGAAAAAATCCACAGAATAATCAATAATTAAAAAAGTGCCATATGATATATATTCAAATGACTTGTTCGGTCCAGCCAACAGTCCCAAAGATATTCAGTTAAGTATCATTAAAGACAAAGAAAATCAGCCATTATTATATACAGTCTGATCAGCTGTAACAAGTAACGAGTGGAAATTTGCTCAAAAAAGTAACAATTAATTGATTAAGAAAAAACTCCAGATTAATTTCATTTAGATTACGCAATTAGTCATTAAATGAAATAATAAATAATAAATAATTTAAATACTTGCAGCCAGCATCATGAGACACATTTCATTATATATTTTAGTGGCTTTTTTGATTTTTATTATAATGTTGATACCTATCAAAACATTTTATTGTGCAATTTTATACTCATACGTCTTCATTTGTTGTTTTTTGTTGTTGTTTAATCACTTTAATCACTCAGTGCACAAGTTCTCATATCCCCCTCTTTGAAATTGCTTATTTTATTTTGATAAAATATTCTTTAAAAAACAAGAAAGTTGATGCATTATATTGATTGAATACAACAATTGTTTACACTAACGTCACATTTTACAGTAAACGGTATCAATAAAAAAATAAAAAACATGTTACATATCAGTTATAAAACTTTGTAATGACAAGGCACAGGCCTATGAAGCTTCCTCACTGTTCATCAACAGCTTCTGTACAGACACAACATCTTCAATAATAAATCAGTTAAATCTACAGCAGTAAGTGCAATTTTATAGTGTCAACCTGAAAGAAACATACAACAACTTCTCACTGTTTTCAGTTAATGCAGTAAAATAATCAAGTAAAAGTGACTTCAGGGTGCGCACACTTATGCATTAACATATAATATAAATGTGTGAACACCTGAAGGCAAGAAGAGGTAGGCTTATATGGGTTTCGTCTAATGTATGTGTTCATACAAGTGTGTGTGTATACAATAAAGCATGAGCACGTGTTATAACATGGTGATTTCGCTGGGTGGCAGGGTGAGTCTCTTCTCCCGCACCGACATCATGTTTTCCACCTGCATGGCGATGACTCGACACAACTCCAGCCCCTGTGGACAAACACGGGCGACGTGAGCACACAGACTGCACCGCAACAACTGCAACGCTAAAAAATGATCATGTGTGGCCTCTTAAGAGCGTCCTTGTCTGTGTTTGCGTAATACCTGTTCCAGCTGCAGCTGAATCACCCGCTGTGTGTTCATGTCCCCCAGGGTGAAGTCTACATATGGGTAACTCGTTCCAGCAGTGGGTCGCTGGGTGCGGCTGGACTGCACCTCCACAAGGGGGACCACTGTCATCAGCTCCTGCACCACAGAACCCAAACATTATAACACAACAACTGTCTTACTGAAACTGTGTGACTCTACTTGTCTGACTCTACTTCTGGCTCATGTTTCAGTCACGATGAGATGAGTCATAGCAGAGCTGCACAATCGTGAATGTGTGCGAGTGTTTGTTCCTTACGTGTGTGTTTTTGTGCAGGAAGTGGAGACCATGTTGATTGACTGCAACAATACAGGGGGCGTAGAAGGTGGTGGAGCTGCTGCTGTGGATGTAGAAGAACGAGGAGCCGAACATAGGGAATGCACTGACCAGCCCTGCACAAAGACACAGTCACACTGTCACATGTTTTATTCTTTGAGGCGGAACCACATTGTACTCAGCCTGTGATAAAAACTGTATAATGTCTTCTGTGGCTCTGGAGGAGCTTTGTCAAGTCTGAACAAAATGACCGTGGTGATGTTTTCAGTGTAATAGAGACTACAAATCTTTAAACAGAAAGACTACAATAAAAACTGGAGGCAAGGAGTTTAAAAGATGTGGAGGAACAAAGTTGCATTATGGGAAACTATCTAGTGTTTTTGAGGTCTGACAGATTATTGTTCCTGTCAATGTAAAGATTAATTTAATACTTACTGACTTTGAGCAAAACAATCTCAACTCAAGGATCATTTAATTGCTTGTTCTGGAGCTTTTGACTGTATCACACAGTCCTCAAGTTAATTATAGGTCCTACTTTCAGCTGCTTATTGAATCTGCTGATGAGGACCATGCAATGTGGTCAAAAAGCTCCAGAAAAAGCAAATAAGTAGACTTTCAATTGAGATTTTTTTAAATCATTTGATTAATATATATTTTCATGTTTTATATACCAAAGGTCTGCAACCTTTACTATCAAATGAGCAGTTTTTTGGCACAAAAAAAAAATAAAATAAAAATCTGTCTGGAGCCACAACATATTTAAATCTTGCATGCAAATTTCTAATGTGTCCACACACAATAATTCGCAATCCATTGATAGTCTAGCAAGGGTAACTCAAGTCTAGTAGCCTGATATTCGGCAAAATACGGAGGAAAAGGTGCCAGGTCAGACAAAATGTGTTTTTCTATTCGGAGTGTAATGGCTGCATTTTTTTTTTACAATTGGAGAATGACAGAATCAAACGAAGCCCAAAACAATGATAAAAGAAAATGAAAATGTTAAAAAGTAACCGTTTTAACTATTTATTTCTACATCATTTTTTTGTCAAAAGCCACAGGGAGCCCCTGGAGAGGGCTATATATAGAAACTGGCAGCTTGTCTTGCTTTGAAGACATTGACTTATATTGTTAACGAGAATGACCAGAACCTCGTCAAGAACAGGAATTTATGTAGAAAGTCACACTTCAGACAATTAAGAAATAATATTCTATACCTTAAAGCTCATATTAAAAGATTATTTTATGGAAATATTGGTCAAAATTTTATTTATTCATGAATAGTCACCTGGAAGGCCATAAGACTTTTTCCTAATAAATATCCAATCAGAAATAAGAGCTTACAAACTACATATGAAATTTGGTGTCTGTATCTACAAGTAACTAAAAACAAAGCTTCATAAGAGCAGAAATGGATAGCAAAGCTTCTCTGCGGTCAAGAGCATACAGTCCACATGTAGAGAAAATATGTAAAAACTGGACAGTTCAGTTTGCCTGTAGGCCCTCCTCTTTATGTGAACAGGACTCTTACCCAGAAACTGTGCTCTCGCCTGGTGCGGGTTCAAGGTCTGCACTTGCTGCATGTGCTGCGTCACCATGGTAACCCACTGCTGGGGTGGCTGCTTTTTGAACAGAGGTGCTGCGATGTACTCCGATAGTTCATGTCTGGAGGAGAGAAGAAGAGAAGCGCAATCTAAGATAAACTAAGAGTCTGTTTCACTCTGTGATTTCCCAACTTTTTCTCTGAGTGATTTTACTCAGTGAGCTGTTCTGTTCTGCTGCTGCTGTGTGTGTGTGT